ACTCCTCCTGGTTCATGACTTTGGATCCAGATTCGATAAATGATTGGAAAGTCAAAGGAAGTCATGTTGTTTGTCAGAGAAGAAGTTCAATTTTAGCAATAAAGAATCTCTGAAGATTACCAAGCTTTTAACTCATGATTGCTCTGGAAGGACTATTTTCAAGCATCACATTCTGAAACCCATTTTGATCTTCTTCATCTCCCTCACGCTGATCCCTATCATCTTTCTCCCCATCTTCGGATGATGAGTGACTCTGTACCTGTTGTTGCTGCGCTTGTCTCTCTTCTTGACTTTGACTCTCCATGATATGCAACAACAGCTCCTCGGGCTTCAACTCCTTCCCAAAATCCTTTACATCAGCCCTCTTGGGCTTCTTGCTGTACAAAACCTCCAGGTGGTGATAATAGGGACAGGTTTTGGAATCCTGAGGTTTCCTCTTGTTCTTCTCCTTCATCCTCTTGAAATACTTGTTTATGTTCTCCCATTTCTCTTTGCACCTCTTGGCACTGCGTTCGTAGCCAAGGCCCTTCATGGCCGAAGATATGTCCTCCCAAAGTGGCCCCTTCGACACACCATTACTGCTATTATTGTTCCCATGAGACTGCACATCAAGTTCAGTCCTCAACCTTATCAAAGCCTCCACTTCATCCTTCGGCCACCGCGAACTACTCATATGCACGAAATTCCTAACACTCAGATTATTCCCACACTCTCGCTTATCCATATCACTCACATCACTATCACCACCACCACCTCCATTAGCCGCAGCATTGATATTCCCACTTTGTTGCATGTCCCTGTGCCCGTTGTTTTGACCCTGGATTTTCTCCAGCAACTGCACCACGCCTTCAACTTGGGTGAACTTTCTTAGAAAAGCAAGGACGACTTCATCTTTAGCCGCGGCGATGGAGCGTTCCTGAGCCAGAAGCTCGCGCTCTTTCTTAATCAGCGCCAGCTCCTCCTTCTTCCACGCTTCCTCCCTTGCCATTCGATCCTTCTCGCACTTCTCCAACACCTCCACGAACTTCCTCTGCAGCATATCCTGCTTCTCTATCACTTCCCTCATCAACCCATCCAGAAACTGCGTCAGCTTCCTCTTCCTAAACCCCTTACCGGAGCACGAAGTCGTCGAACTAGAATGCTCCCCCACGTACGCACTCACGGAACACGGAACCGCATCTAAAATAACATCGACGTTGGTGTTGTTGTCGGGCACGTGGGTCGTCGTCGTCGTCGTTGCTGTTTCTGGGGCGCTTACAGAGGGAGTCGGAAGTGAGTGGTGTCCTTCTAAAGCTTCCAATTGCTCGAAAAATCTGTAAGTCTTGCTACCGTTGGATTTGCCACAACGACCTTCCTTGGTTCTCCTATGGTACTTGTAAATGTTCTCGAATTTCTCCTTGCACTTCTTCGAACTCCTGTTATAACCTAGCTCCGCTAATTTCCTGAATATACAAAAGATTTTCAAATTAATTCAATCACCACGTTATTATCACACAGACAAAAAGAAATGGTTCAACTTAACTATGTCAAGCTAGAATGTATACAGTATCGTTGTAACACTAGCATCACTGATTAGGGAATAAGCTTGAGAATAATGGGGATTCCAGGGGAAACGAAGAGGGACTTACTTTGAGACTTGGTCCCAGAGAGGGGCTTTGGGGTTTGTATCCCTGAAAGCAACGTCCATGTCAGACCTTATCTTGAGCAAAGCCATTGTTTCCTCTTTAGGCCATCGACTGGCGGCGGAATTCCGGTCACCGGCTTCGCCGTCCTCCGCTTTGAGCCACTCGGAGACCGCCGCGGCGCCTCCCTCCGGGTTGGCAAGAGGAGTTGCCGGTGAAGCAGAGACTTCCAGCATCGGTTTCACCGTAGTTACAGCTAGGAAACACTTGAGGGTGGGGGCAAGAGAGGAAAAAAAACAACCTTGGTGAAACCTTGTCAGGGAAAAATAAAAATAAAGGTACTGTAATAACTGGGGTTGTGTTGAGTGTTTGTTTTGATGTAGGGGATTTGAATTGTTTGTGCTATTTCAAATTTCAAGGTCTACTAACCATTGTCGTTACTTACAAGTTTAAAAAGGGCGAGCATATGGACAGGTGAATAATAATAAGAAGAAAAGAAAAGGTTTAAAATTCAAAAGAAGTGAAATGGATACGATCGGATAGATTCCATGGAGGTAGAGGTCCATACGTGGTGGCATGGCATTGGTTGATGGTTCATTACAAAATTTCCCACTTGTGTAAGTTTGACCCTTTGCAGACAGGGAGGGAAATTAAAAATTGACAGCTAAAGTCAATATTTGTGGGCTTTTCTAGGGTAAAATGAGATAACTTGGTGATGGGAGGAAAAGTGGGTTTGTTTTATTGTGTGGTAGTAATGGAATTGGGTTCATAAGGGAAGGCCCACAGAGCCCACATTCTTGTTCTGTACGTTTCTGTCACTCCGCTGGCTTTGCCCCACGCCACACATACCACAACTCAATTACGTGTGCCGTAAACTTACGAGTTGCGGCCACCGCATTTTTCCGAGTCGGTGAAAAACGAAAATATCCTCACCCTACTCCTTTTTATAAAAAAAATATATATTGCGCCAATCAGGGCACAATTGGGTGTCACAGAGCGCCAATGCACGAGTCTCGGGTTTATGGGATAGAATTTACCAAGAAAAATAAATACCCCCTTCAATTAGAAATTGAAATTCAAATATGTTTTCAAAATTATCCTGTATGTTATATGACTTATAAGGCCGAGTTCGTTAAATAACGAATATAAACGCGTATAGGTTGGTAAGTGTGGAAATGGACAATTAAGCATGTTAGCATGTAGTAAAAGCCGCGACAAAAAAAATGAAAGTGGAGGTTTTGGTTTTGTCGTAAGTATAAAGTGAGGAATTTAAGAAGTAAAGAGCGGATATATTTGAGACGGTCCAAATTATCGGCGTGGTTCTTATTGTTTGGTAGAGTGAGTTTGGGTTTTGATTTTGAAAATGGGATCCATGGTTTACAGTAGGATACGACAACATTGATTTATTGAGTTGCGTAAACCTCTCCAACACTCCTCACGCGATAGGAGGTCTAGTCGCGTCGTTTTCTTAAACTCTTTTTCCCTTTCATCTTTATCACCTCCTCTCACGCACCACAAGAGAATTTTAACTAAATTTTACATTTAAACAACATCATGTCTTACGTCTTACATTAACACTTCAACTATTTTAGCTAACGTTAATTTCGTCTTTAAGAGCCCTCTAAACCAAAACTCCCAAAATTTCACTTTGAAAAATTAATACATAGACAAAACTAATATAGAAGCTTGACCACCCTTCTTATCTTTGGCCACCGTACCACCACGCTCCTGCCAACATTCAAACGCATTGCAACCCACTACCTACCAAACTACATCCTAAACTTTTCATATTTACATATAAATCGAATTCTTTTTTTATTTCATTATCGTTTTTATCTTACTACTATAAATTACTTTATCTTTTAAAATTTATATTTAACTTTTATAGTTATTCTTTTAAGAAAAAAAGATTTTTTTAGATTTAATAACATTTTTATTTTAGTAATAATTACAATAATTTTTTTTATAATCATAAAGTAAAAGGATATATATATATATAGAGAGAGAGAAAAAAGTACATGTGTTTTTAGTAGTATCTGTGATGTAGTACTTTATTCATGATTGTCATATAAATTTAATTATATTGTGATTTTCATTTTATTTCTTTTTCATCTTGTTCTCTTTTATTTTATTTTTCTTTCTTTTTTTCCTTTCTTCTTATATCTTAGAAGTTTCTTTTAAAAAAACAATTTTTAATATATATAATTAATATTCTTTTAATATATATATATATATATNAAAATGGAGGGCAAACTCCTCTAAATGAATCGAGCACTGGCGGACGACTTGGCGAAGGCCAAAGAGAAGATATCCGAGCTGGAGGCGGGTATCGTGTTTGAACATGAGGAGGGTTTCAACAAAACTCTCCGCCAAGCGTCCGTCCTAATGGGAGTCAAGGAGTCGTTTGCCCTTGGTTTCGACATTGAAAAGGACGTGTTCGATGGCATCTTGGTCCCACTTGAGTCTCCCGCCGCCGAGGAGCATCCAGAATGCTGAGGCCGCAGAACAAGGGTGAGGCCGCAGAACAAGGGACTTGTAAAAGAATCAAGGCAATAACAACACATCAATACTATTTATATAACTCGCCAACAAACATAATAAAACCAAATTAGTTTTAAGCAATTCGATAATTGATAGAAATTACATGATTTTATAATGTTGTACATGTTTATAAGAGTACTATGTACACATTTGTCTAAGAGTGTCAGTAACACAAAAACATATATATGGTATCTTGTTCCTCAGAACACATACAAAGTAAAAAAAAATTATCAGAACACATCCAAGGTATGTAATAATGCATATTGCTTTTGTTATTTGTTTTCAGTTAGTGTAATTTATTTTTAGTTCTTTGAATGTTAGTGGGCTTCTTCGTTGGCATCTTGAGCATAACAGACCAATACAAGAGCCAATTTTCGATCTTATTAGTGATTAGTTCTCTTAAAGAAATGAGCATCACTTCCCAGATCCATAAGTTTTCAACTCAACCTTTACAAAATCAAGATGAGCGTTTTGTTTAAGGAGTAACGCGTGTTGCACCGTTTTTTAGGAGTACATCGCACATAGAGAGACATGTTATGTTATGGAGCACATGAAGGAAAGTGATGAGTGCATGAATAAAGGACCAAAATGAGTATTTACAAGTTATGAAGCAAATTCTAAGATACCCAAAGGATCTCTAGCCGGGTTATCTGCTTCTAACTTTGTTGCAGATTTTGATGTTAGATGATCATAACAGGCTACGTGTTCATGATTATTGGGTTATTTTATATGGCAGTACAATATAGTCTTCGCCATAGAAAGCCAAAAACAATAATGCTTTCGAATTAAAAGGGATAAAATATGTGTAGAGAACGGTGAAATGGTAAAGAAAATGAAAAAGAATTGTAAAAATATCATTTCTAAAACAAAAGTGAACTTTCGTTATCGTTACAGTTCACCTCTAACTAGGCTGTGATGGGGAAAGTACAGTATGCCATTCTTTATTGTCACTACCAAACAAATCCAACCCTCTCCCACCTGACTACACATGGGTTTGCAAACTTCTAGGGAAAAAAATTACTAAGTATTAAATCTCTCTCTTTTCTTTTTCTTTTTCTCTGTGAGCGTGTTCCTTCTATCATGTTTCCCCAAAAAAATATGATGAAAAATAGAAAAGAGACAGTGTAATAGATACAAAAACAACACCCTTCAGATTCTTTTGTATTCACTATTACCACTGGAGGCCACCAACACAACCTACAACTACTCCTCCTGGTTCATGACTTTGGATCCAGATTCGATAAATGATTGGAAAGTCAAAGGAAGTCATGTTGTTTGTCAGAGAAGAAGTTCAATTTTAGCAATAAAGAATCTCTGAAGATTACCAAGCTTTTAACTCATGATTGCTCTGGAAGGACTATTTTCAAGCATCACATTCTGAAACCCATTTTGATCTTCTTCATCTCCCTCACGCTGATCCCTATCATCTTTCTCCCCATCTTCGGATGATGAGTGACTCTGTACCTGTTGTTGCTGCGCTTGTCTCTCTTCTTGACTTTGACTCTCCATGATATGCAACAACAGCTCCTCGGGCTTCAACTCCTTCCCAAAATCCTTTACATCAGCCCTCTTGGGCTTCTTGCTGTACAAAACCTCCAGGTGGTGATAATAGGGACAGGTTTTGGAATCCTGAGGTTTCCTCTTGTTCTTCTCCTTCATCCTCTTGAAATACTTGTTTATGTTCTCCCATTTCTCTTTGCACCTCTTGGCACTGCGTTCGTAGCCAAGGCCCTTCATGGCCGAAGATATGTCCTCCCAAAGTGGCCCCTTCGACACACCATTACTGCTATTATTGTTCCCCTGAGACTGCACATCAAGTTCAGTCCTCAACCTTATCAAAGCCTCCACTTCATCCTTCGGCCACCGCGAACTACTCATATGCACGAAATTCCTAACACTCAGATTATTCCCACACTCTCGCTTATCCATATCACTCACATCACTATCACCACCACCACCTCCATTAGCCGCAGCATTGATATTCCCACTTTGTTGCATGTCCCTGTGCCCGTTGTTTTGACCCTGGATTTTCTCCAGCAACTGCACCACGCCTTCAACTTGGGTGAACTTTCTTAGAAAAGCAAGGACGACTTCATCTTTAGCCGCGGCGATGGAGCGTTCCTGAGCCAGAAGCTCGCGCTCTTTCTTAATCAGCGCCAGCTCCTCCTTCTTCCACGCTTCCTCCCTTGCCATTCGATCCTTCTCGCACTTCTCCAACACCTCCACGAACTTCCTCTGCAGCATATCCTGCTTCTCTATCACTTCCCTCATCAACCCATCCAGAAACTGCGTCAGCTTCCTCTTCCTAAACCCCTTACCGGAGCACGAAGTCGTCGAACTAGAATGCTCCCCCACGTACGCACTCACGGAACACGGAACCGCATCTAAAATAACATCGACGTTGGTGTTGTTGTCGGGCACGTGGGTCGTCGTCGTCGTCGTTGCTGTTTCTGGGGCGCTTACAGAGGGAGTCGGAAGTGAGTGGTGTCCTTCTAAAGCTTCCAATTGCTCGAAAAATCTGTAAGTCTTGCTACCGTTGGATTTGCCACAACGACCTTCCTTGGTTCTCCTATGGTACTTGTAAATGTTCTCGAATTTCTCCTTGCACTTCTTCGAACTCCTATTATAACCTAGCTCCGCTAATTTCCTGAATATACAAAAGATTTTCAAATTAATTCAATCACCACGTTATTATCACACAGACAAAAAGAAATGGTTCAACTTAACTATGTCAAGCTAGAATGTATACAGTATCGTTGTAACACTAGCATCACTGATTAGGGAATAAGCTTGAGAATAATGGGGATTCCAGGGGAAACGAAGAGGGACTTACTTTGAGACTTGGTCCCAGAGAGGGGCTTTGGGGTTTGTATCCCTGAAAGCAACGTCCATGTCAGACCTTATCTTGAGCAAAGCCATTGTTTCCTCTTTAGGCCATCGACTGGCGGCGGAATTCCGGTCACCGGCTTCGCCGTCCTCCGCTTTGAGCCACTCGGAGACCGCCGCGGCGCCTCCCTCCGGGTTGGCAAGAGGAGTTGCCGGTGAAGCAGAGACTTCCAGCATCGGTTTCACCGTAGTTACAGCTAGGAAACACTTGAGGGTGGGGGCAAGAGAGGAAAAAAAACAACCTTGGTGAAACCTTGTCAGGGAAAAATAAAAATAAAGGTACTGTAATAACTGGGGTTGTGTTGAGTGTTTGTTTTGATGTAGGGGATTTGAATTGTTTGTGCTATTTCAAATTTCAAGGTCTACTAACCATTGTCGTTACTTACAAGTTTAAAAAGGGCGAGCATATGGACAGGTGAATAATAATAAGAAGAAAAGAAAAGGTTTAAAATTAAAAAGAAGTGAAATGGATACGATCGGATAGATTCCATGGAGGTAGAGGTCCATACGTGGTGGCATGGCATTGGTTGATGGTTCATTACAAAATTTCCCACTTGTGTAAGTTTGACCCTTTGCAGACAGGGAGGGAAATTAAAAATTGACAGCTAAAGTCAATATTTGTGGGCTTTTCTAGGGTAAAATGAGATAACTTGGTGATGGGAGGAAAAGTGGGTTTGTTTTATTGTGTGGTAGTAATGGAATTGGGTTCATAAGGGAAGGCCCACAGAGCCCACATTCTTGTTCTGTACGTTTCTGTCACTCCGCTGGCTTTGCCCCACGCCACACATACCAAAACTCAATTACGTGTGCCGTAAACTTACGAGTTGCGGCCACCGCATTTTTCCGAGTCGGTGAAAAACGAAAATATCCTCACCCTACTCCTTTTTATAAAAAAAATATATATTGCGCCAATCAGGGCACAATTGGGTGTCACAGAGCGCCAATGCACGAGTCTCGGGTTTATGGGATAGAATTTACCAAGAAAAATAAATACCCCCTTCAATTAGAAATTGAAATTCAAATATGTTTTCAAAATTATCCTGTATGTTATATGACTTATAAGGCCGAGTTCGTTAAATAACGAATATAAACGCGTATAGGTTGGTAAGTGTGGAAATGGACAATTAAGCATGTTAGCATGTAGTAAAAGCCGCGACAAAAAAAATGAAAGTGGAGGTTTTGGTTTTGTCGTAAGTATAAAGTGAGGAATTTAAGAAGTAAAGAGCGGATATATTTGAGACGGTCCAAATTATCGGCGTGGTTCTTATTGTTTGGTAGAGTGAGTTTGGGTTTTGATTTTGAAAATGGGATCCATGGTTTACAGTAGGATACGACAACATTGATTTATTGAGTTGCGTAAACCTCTCCAACACTCCTCACGCGATAGGAGGTCTAGTCGCGTCGTTTTCTTAAACTCTTTTTCCCTTTCATCTTTATCACCTCCTCTCACGCACCACAAGAGAATTTTAACTAAATTTTACATTTAAACAACATCATGTCTTACGTCTTACATTAACACTTCAACTATTTTAGCTAACGTTAATTTCGTCTTTAAGAGCCCTCTAAACCAAAACTCCCAAAATTTCACTTTGAAAAATTAATACATAGACAAAACTAATATAGAAGCTTGACCACCCTTCTTATCTTTGGCCACCGTACCACCACGCTCCTGCCAACATTCAAACGCATTGCAACCCACTACCTACCAAACTACATCCTAAACTTTTCATATTTACATATAAATCGAATTCTTTTTTTATTTCATTATCGTTTTTATCTTACTACTATAAATAACTTTATCTTTTAAAATTTATATTTAACTTTTATAGTTATTCTTTTAAGAAAAAAAGATTTTTTTAGATTTAATAACATTTTTATTTTAGTAATAATTACAATAATTTTTTTTATAATCATAAAGTAAAAGGATATATATATATATAGAGAGAGAGAAAAAAGTACATGTGTTTTTAGTAGTATCTGTGATGTAGTACTTTATTCATGATTGTCATATAAATTTAATTATATTGTGATTTTCATTTTATTTCTTTTTCATCTTGTT